ACGAACGACTGTTTCCCCCTGGGTACAGGCCCACGGACCACCAGAAGGTGCTTCACGGCCCACGGACCACTAGAAGGTGCTTCACGGCCCACTGATGGTTCGCGGCCCACATGTTGAGAAACCCTGTCATAGACCTCTTGCATCATTCAGTGTTCCATACGATGCCCAGAACTCTAAGTCATTTATCTTTGTGAGAATAGAGAATTGTGTGTTGGAAAATCACGGCTATCACAAAACATTCCGAAACATTTTTCTTCCCAAACGATTCTGAATCTTCTGAATTCTGAGCTTATTAAGAAGCCTAATTGCTAATATTGCTGCACACAAGCTCTGTTGTTGGTTGTAGGTGTCGACTCCAAAAACGTTTCTCTTCCTGATGAACGATTGTTCTCAGACTGAGCTGAGGTCTGCAGAAACTGAACGTTCCTGTGAAACGGATCCACTCTTATCAGTAATTACAGAGGATGGTGAATTAGTTCTGCTGATTGAGGTTCATCATGAGTTTAAAATTGGTCATTCAGCCAGTTTAATCTGCCCCGTCACACACGGTACAGTCTGTAACTGGACAGTGACATTGCTTGTTTTTACCTCTGTATTATTAGTATTATCACTACTATAAATACTTTTTTAAGTAGTAATAGGGGTTGTAGCCTTGTGGTTCTGGTCATTATTAGATTTTTAATATAAATGTTTTATTTATATACTTTACTGTTTTACACTATGTAGGTATAGATGTTCTGTTGTTGACAGGCTCTCTGTAATTAGTCTAAATCTGACTCTTTTATGATCCATGCAGTTGTTCAGGGCAACAGTCTTCGACACATGGAGCACCTTTTTTCTACCAAACCACATCAAGAACAAACAACAAACGAGCTACTAAACCAGACCAAGAACCACTAAACTGTACTAAGAACTACCAAACCAAACTGTGAAAAACCCAAACTATACCAAGAAATACTGAACCAAGAACTACTAAACCATACCAAGAAATACTAAACAATACCATGACACAATCAAACCAAGAACCAAACCACGCCAAAACCTACGGAACCAAGAACTACCAAATCACACGAAGAACTACCCAACTATACCAAAAACAACCCAACCATAACAACTACCAAACCATACCAACAACTACCAAACCACACCAAAACCTACCAAACCATACCAACAACTACCAAACCACACCAAAACCTACCAAACCATACCAACAACTACCAAACCATACCAACAACTACCAAACCACAGCAAAACCTACCGAACCAAGAACTACCAAATCACACCAAGAACTACCAAACTATACCAAAAACAATCCAACCAAAGCAACTACCAAACCATACCAAAAACTACTAAACCATACCAAAACCTACCAAACCATACCAAAAACTACTAAACCATACAAAAAACTACCAAACCATACCAACAACTACCAAACCATACCAACAACTACCAAATCACACCAAAACCTACCAAACCAAGAACTACCAAACCATACGAAAAACTACCAAACCACACCAAGTAGAAGTAGTAGTGGTTATAGTATTGTTGTTGTGGTTATTATTATATTATTATTGACTTTAATGTAAAATACATTTTATTTATTTATTTTACTTTCTTATAAAATGTAGGTTATAGATGTGCTGTTGTTAACAGGCTCTCTGTAATTAGTCTACTATAGACTATGTTAATTGTTCAGTGTAGCAGTTTTCCACACATAGATCACCTTTCTATTACCAAACTATACTAAGAACAAACAAAGCAAGAACTGCTAAATCACACCAAGAACTGCTAAACCATACCAGGAACTACCAAACTATTCCAAGAACTACCAGACCATACCAACAGCTACCAAGCTATACCAACTACCAAATAATCTGTGGTGCTGAAACGAGTTCCTGTAGAAAGGAGCTTCCTGTGATTGAGATGATCCTCTGTATTCATAACTTCTTTATTCTGTGTGTATCTCCATCACCAGCGGGTCTCATTCCATACAGATCATTCAGAATCTCCGCAGCCCGTTTGGCTCTGATGGAGAAGGTGAAGCTGCGCTGGTGGAGGGTTTGAGTTTCTGCATGTGAGCTGATGTGAAAGGCTCTCCCACGCGTATTTAAACATTTAAACAGGTCAGAATTAAATATTAAAAAGAGGAGAATAAACTCCACGAGGGATAAAGACGGGGGGGTTCATGCACTGGCGACTTCAATTTAGTTTAATCATTTGACATTATTTTATGAGCAATTATTTATTTTTTTATATTTTAGTTATTTTAATGGTTTGATGACATTCGTCCCATTGTGCTTCTCATTACAGTAGTACCTATTTCAGCAGTTTAGCCCCACCCATTCAGCTTACAGCAGTTTAGCCCCACCCATTCAACCTACAGCAGTTTAGCCCCACCCATTCAGCTTACAGCAGTTTAGCCCCACCCATTCAACCTACAGCAGTTTAGCCCCACCCATTCAACCTACAGCTGTTTAGCCCGTGCCTATTCAGCCTACAGCAGTTTAGCCCCGCCTATTCAACCTACAGCAGTTTAGCCCCACCCATTCAACCTACAGCTGTTTAGCCCTGCCCATTAAGTCTACAGCAGTTTAGCCCCACCCATTCAGCCTGCTGCTGTTTAGCCCCGCCCATTCAGCCTACAGCAGTTTAGCCCCGCCTAATCAGCCTACAGCAGTTTAGCTCTATAAAACCACACATATATTATAAATGGACATCAGTGGAGGATACAGAATATGTGTCCCCTAAGTGCTGCACTGATAAGACCCCGGCTTCATAAAACAGCTTTATTTTTTGTTTTGTTTTGAATTACAGTACAGTATGTAATCAACACAATACAAAAACAAAAGTACTTATAGTAAAATTATAGTGCAGTAGTAGAAACAAAAAACAGTATTGTGTGAGATTGTATGGGATGGATTGGATGGTTTCAGACTCGTGAGACCGGTTACGGTTTCTTTTTCCATCTGTTCCAGCGCTGAATCAGAACCAGGAAATACCCAGGAAAACCTGCACAAACGAGTAGCTAACTGCTAACAGGCTAATAGCCACGCCCACACCACCCACCACAAAACATGTCTGATTCCGTCCGTCACTCCATATCCAGCCTTTCTCACCGTGTTCTCATCTTCTTTATCCTCTAAACGAGGGTTATTTGAGCATGTTACCGAAACAGCCTGTACTGCAGTGGATTCACCTGTAGCTGGATAACTAGCTACTTTAGCATTAGCATCACCCGGCAAGATACAGCTCAAAGCACCACAAATCTGTCACTTCAACACCAGTCATTTGAATTTGTGCTCTCAGATACGAGCCTTTATCCTCTAAACGGGTGTTTTTAATCATCGGTTCACTAGAACACCGACATAAACATAGAACCAATTAGCAAACAGCCACGTCATGACATCATCCCACCGAACAGTTCTGTAGCCCCAAATATGATTAACTAATCGAGATGAAAAAGAAAAGGCTGAGCCCAGTTTTTAAGGGCTCCGTGTCGAACCGTGTCCGTGTGGAAACGCCACCGGAACGGTGGACAGTAGGCCTATGTTTCCACATGCCTCTTTCATTGCTTACTGAAGAGGCTGGTGGGCATGTGGTTGGTGGTCCTACACTGTCCAACGCCAAGCTGAAAACACTTCCTCAGTTGGATTGAGAAATAGGGAAAAAGGGGCAAGTTTAAAACTGTGAGGTTATTGTTGCTGGTGAACGAGTCCTGGACCAGAGCAGCCCAGTGGAAACTTACATTATCCCAGATGATGACAAACCTGCACTGTAGTGCTAATTTATTAATATTTTTTGTAGTGCTGAGGCTCAGACTGATTAGTTTTCGATTACTGTGTAAGTGTATTCAGGTGTGTGTGAGTGTGTAAGTGTTGCCAGTTTCAGGTCTGTTTTGCTTTTTGAATGGAAGTGTTTTCCCAGTGATTGCAAGAGCTTTCGTTCTTGAACGAAGTGCCCACTGTAAGAAACTATGTACTGTTTTGCGTAAGTGTGTTGGAGAATTTCAAATTGCTAAGCAGAAAATCTTTGATGCTTTTATCTGAGCATTCACTCTCAGGGTGTAAGCAGTCGGCAAAAACTGTAAAACAGGCGTTCTCAACCTTTTTGACCTCAAGGCCCACCTGTTCATCATAGGCAGCACAAGAAAACAAACTTAATTTCAAACAAAATTTCATTTTTGGAAAATTTTCAAGCCCCTGCCGCTTTCAAACGTGGGATGCATGGCACAATCATCTGCCGCAGCGTACTCCGTTTACCGGGTCTACATGAGTCAGACAGTTATCAGATTTCTGCTTTACAACCAGCCAGTAAACTCACAGAAGACGACGTGACGTGAACGTAATGTAAAACTCAAACTTCATGAGCAGCTTTTTTTTTTTAAACATCGCGCTGCTTTACTTGAAAATATGAACATACATCATCTAGAAGATGAAGAATATTTCAGTCCTTTATTTCATATTTGGTCTCACGGCGACGCTGCTCGCTTATTTCCGGTACCGCCATCTGTTCTTGCACATGCTCAGACTGAGAAGTCCGAAAGAAATCAGAGTAAGAGTTCACATGCACTGAGAGATCTGATGACTGAGCTAAAATCCAGCCTCTTTATCGGATTTCTTAATCAGATTTCTAGATCTGAGTATGGCATTTATGTGACCATTTGGATAATCAGATAACTGCAGAAATCTGATTATGATCGGATTATTGAGTGTATGTAAACACACTCACTGATTTTGATAATGAAATGCAATCACCAGCCCTGGTCCTCTTCAGTACTGCCCCAAGGACCACCAAAGGGTGCTTCCCGGCCCAGTTGTGGTCCATGGCCCAGTGGTTGAGAAACCCCGTATTAAAGAGTGTTGTCTGAAGAGGATGTGGCACCCAAACATTTGCATACGCCTGTAAATAAGGCTGTTATTATTATTATTGTTATTATTATTATTGTTATTATTATTTATTTTATTTTATTTTGTTTTTATTGTGTCTCTGTGTTTATGCAGTGATCTTGGACCGGAGCAGCTCCGCCCATGAGCAGTGAGGCGAGCCTGCTGTTGGCCGGAATCGTTATCGGCCTCGTGCTCATCATCTCCTGTATCACCATCATCATCGGCAAGCTGAGGAAGGGCAACCACAAGAGGAACCCAAACCTGCGCTCCAGCAGTCTCGGTATGTACCGCACCACAACTAACCCCCCTTTAACGTTTACCTCCTGTGCAGTGATGCAAGCTGAAGTTTACTCTGCTTTAACTGAACACTTTCCCTTTAAGGGGCAATGTTTATTTTTTAATGCAGGCTTATTATACGGTTTAAATCTTAAAGGGCTCATATCAGGAAAAACGTCCTAAAAAAAGATTTCCACACTTTCTTCAAATGAATGAACTGAGTATGATGTAGTTTGTCAGTATTCTTAAAATATCTGTAAAAAAAAAAAATTTATATATATTTAAACTTAATAGGTTTTTATGACATCACAAAAATTCAACACCTTCACATAAATCTGCTTGTTCAGCCTGCAGGAGTTAAGCCCCGCCCATTCACAATAAAGTTATGTAAGTTGTGTGTTTCAGCCCAGATTACTTTTTGAATGAGGTGCCATTCAGGCAAGCCAATCAGAACAGAGCTCATTTACATACACATCTTAAAGGGCCCATGTCCTATATTTTACTTGTATTCTGTTTTTTTCCCATTAGATCCAGTTTTGACATTTATATGGTTTAATGTAAAAAAAACAGTTATGCTGGTTTTGTTAGTTTCTTCAAAACATTCATGTCTTATAAATATGTAAGATATATGTAAATTAGCTTTGCTCTGATTGGCAGCGCTGCATTGTGCCTCATTCAAGAAAGCAGTCTAGGCTGAAACACTCACCGTGAATGGGTAAATGTGTAAATGGATTGACTTTTAGTGACATCACAAAAACTGTGAATTCAAAATTAAGTTTATTAGCCATATATGAACTGTATGGCCTGGCGAGTGAACGATAAAGTTTGAAACTTTACAGAATACATAAAACTTTATTTTAAAAAAATAGGCAAATTTGGTTTTCCCTGATATGGGCCCTTTAAAGCCACTGTAAAAATTAAGGGAGTTCGATCCCTGGTGATGTTACAGCCATCCTTAGCCGGGAGTCCGAGAGAGCACAATTGGCCTCTCTCTCTCTGGGTGGGTGGGATGGCCCCTCCTTCTCCCCCCATCACTCAGCGTGGGCGTCTGTTAGCTGACGTAACAGATCTGGCGGTTGGCGCTTTCCTCCGAGCGCGTTCGGCTGTCCAGTGACGTTGAGTGAGTGGCAGTTCGAAAAGAAGCGGTGGTTGGCTTCACAGGTCTCGGAGGAAGCCTGTGTTAGCCTTCACCCTCCTAGCGTTGATAGCATCGTGTGATTGGGGGGAGTCCTAACTAGCGGGTGGAATTGGAGATGACTAAATTGGGGAGAAAATTGGGTAAAATAAAAAATTAAGGGATAGAGAAATGTTGGAAGATGATCATGTAAAATTTAATTATGACTGTTTTTGGTACATAAAACCACACAGATGTTATCAGCGGACCTCAGGAAGAAAAAATCGAAGAAAAATGTAATATATATGGGCCATTTAAAACGCAGTGTGAAGAGCCAAAACAGCTCTAACTGTGTCTCTGAGCGGTTCACTGTATGAGGAGGGAAACTGTTCCAATCCGACTCTAAGATCTGGTTGTTTTTCGTGCCTGTTAGTTGGAGACCGTTACTTCGTGGGCTCAAATGGGGAACTGAGGCCCATCCGTCCTGATGATTCTCGCACCGCGTCTGACTGGGACTCCTACATGGAGACGGTTTCCCAGAACAGCGACACGTGTCCGGACTCTCCACCTCGGTGAGTGACTCTGGCCTCTTTTCCACTGCAGGGCCGAACGGTTCTGAGCACAGAGAGTAGCCGTTCCAGTGGTGTTTCCTCACGGACACGGTTCAACAAGGAACGCTTAAAACTGGGCTCAGCCCATTTTTTTCCATGGTTAGCTAACCGTATTCGGGGACACAGAACCGTTCGGTGGGATGATGTAACGACGTAGCTGTTCACTGATTGCTTCTATGTTTATATCGTATTGTGTCACAGCATCAGGCTGCGCTATTTCAAACCCACAAGCATTCTAATACATTCAGTTTGCTCAAATAAATGAAAGCAGTGCACGATTTTAAATCCATCATTCAATAAACATCAAAGCTTCAGTCTAAAATCAATTTCTAAATGTTAAGTGGCACTAGATGGATGGATGAATGGACTGGTGCAGGGGTGCTGTGATAGATGAATGGATGTTTTGATGAATGAATGAATAGATTTATGGATGCATGGGTAGATGGATGGATGAAAGGATGAATGGATGGATGAATGGATAAAATGATGAATGGATGGAAGGATGAATGTAAGGATGGATGAATAGATGCATGGATGGATGATATATGGATAAAAGGATGGATGGATGGATGGATTGATGTTAGGATGAATGGATAAAAGGATGAATGGATGGATGGGTGGATGTAAGGATCAGTGGATGGATTGATGGATGAATGGGATGGATGGATGAAAGGATAGATGGATGGATGGATGAACAAATGGCAGGATGGATAAACAGATGAAAGGATGGATGAATTGATGGATGTAAGGATGAATGAACGAAATGGATGGATGGATGGATGAATGGATGGATGCAGTTCGTGTGAATGTGGAATCAGTAATGCTCGCTTCATCTGACTCATGAATGAATCATTCTTTTGAACTGGTTCGTTTCAATAAACTGGTTGAACTGATTCTGATTCTGACTTGATCTTGAACTTTTTTAGCATCTTTGCAAAAATGTACATCTGAGTCAGAGGTAAAAACATTCAGTAAGAATTTAAATAACATTTTTTACCATTTTACTTTATAAATATATTACAAAGTACAGCATGTGCTCCGTTATAGAGTCTCTCACTGAGTCAGACCCTGTTAGTGAGAAGAACCAGAGAACATCAGTCACTCAGTCACAAGTCATTCTGAGCCCAAATAGAGGAGAAGAGGAGGATGAAGTGTCGACTTCAAGTGAATTAATGAGCTGTTGAATCAAACATTTGATTCCTTGAATCATCACGGTAACTGAATCATTGATGTAACTGGACAGAGAGAGAGAGAGAGAGAGAGAGAGAGAGCGCTCACCCTTGAGGGACACTGGGACTGGACTAAACTATTTTTAGGCTGTGTTGTCCAGAGCTCTGGTATTATTAGAACACCAGAGAAACAGGGAGAGATCGACAGTCCGAGAGAAAGAGAGAGAGAGAGAGAGAGAGAAAGAGAAGGGGAGAAAGAAGATAAACAGAGAAAGAAGAACAATAACAGAGAGAGACAGTGATTTTCAAAATGAATCAATGTTAAACATTTCCAATATCAGTGATGCACACCTTTGTGATCATTTTTTATTTTATTTTCTATGAATCAAACAGCTCTTTTTTTTACAATATTACAGAACTGAAGGAAACAAAAACAACCCCTATCCTGTCCCCATCCCTCCGGTCCATCCATCCCCTCTACATTACACTGCTAACAAATATCAAATAAGGTTTTAATTTAAAGAAAGATGCTCATCTACTATTCAACAGCTATTGAAGAAATAAATCATACATGTGAACGTAAATACATACTTCATGGCTCACAAATCTCTCTTTTTTCATACCGGTTCCCACAAAGGTTCTGTTTATCGAACAGCAGTGGTGGACGAAGTACGCAAACCATGTACTTGAGTTAAAGTAGAGACTCCCAAGGTAAAATATTACTGCAGTAAAAGTAGAAGTTCCTCCCTTTAGACCTCCACTTGAGTAAAAGTACAAAAGTATTTGCCTTCAAATCTACTTAAGTATCAAAAGTGAAAGTACTGAAAGATTAATTATGGCTTTAATGTCCTATTATCATATTTGTAATAAGACTCGCTTCATTAACTCCATGTAGGTGAAAATACTCCAGTGTCTCTCTTGGTAAACCAGTCTTTTGATAGAATGTCATTAATTAGTGACGCTGATGTCTATTAAAATTATCATAAGCACAAAACACTGAAGGCAAACAGTTTCCATCAGGTAGAACTGAGTGGCTCTGAAATCACTTTATACAAACAAGCAAAGTTTCAGTTTAAGATTTATTTGAACTGAGTTACAAGTTTAAGTTTAATAAAAACTTTAAACTCAGGTTCACAAATGAGTTTCCTTTACTAAACTGCATCTGTAGGTCTCTGTTCATAAACATAAACTAGACAAAACTAATTTACTGTAAAATGTAATACTGTTTGTATAAATTCAGAATAAAGACACGTCAGTCACAACTGCATATGTGTACATATCTCTATATTGTGGTCTGTTTACACAAAGTTAGGTTAGTTCATCATTTATGTTGAATAGACTCTCCCAAAGTTTTACGCTGCTGCACTGACGTTGAACCGTGTGCTGCACTGGGTCGGTATGACCAACAGGTCAAAACAAGCTCAAAACAAAGTGACCGCTGTGCCCTGATTGGTGCTTCACGCTTCTTTCGTTTTGACATGTTACGTTTTTATACACACATAAACCAAAAGGAACGACAGATTTCTCATAATGTAGTGGAGTAAAAAGTGAGATATTTGACTTTGAAATGTAGTGGAGTGAAAGTCAAAAACTCCAGCAGCACTGCTGTGTCTGATCCACTCAGACCAGCGCAACACACACTAACACACCACCACCACGTCAGTGTTACTGCGGTGCTGAGAATGATCCACCACCCAAATAGTACCTGCTCTGTGAGGGTCCATGGGGGTCCTGACCACTGAAGAACAGGGTAAAAGGGGGCTAACAAAGTATCAGAGAAACAGATGGACTACAGTCTGTAACTGTAGAACTACAAAGTGCACCTATATAGTAAGTGGAGCTGATAAAATGGACAGTGAGCGTAGAAACAAGGAGGTGGTCATAATGTTATGCCTGACTGGTTTATGCAAAAACTTCAACAGTTAAATACAGACACTTGTAGTAGACCTTGAAATATTACATGGATGCTTGCAATATTGAAAATTTTAATGTCCTCAGGTGCTCCTTCCTTTAAACCTGCCTAGTAGAATTGTGTAGAACTGTGCAGAATTGAGGTGTAACTGCTGTCCCATAGCCGGCTGTTGGGGTAGGAGAGTCAGGGCACAGATAGGATTGTGTGGCGGGCCTGATTTGGCCCACGGGCCTTGTGTTTGACACATGCGCTCTAGACACACATCACTGAATTATGTTATTGGTTTTATGTTATTACATTCTTAGGTTTTATTACATATTTACCATGCAAACTATAAAATCTATTACATTATTATACACTATTGGTTCTGCAGGCCCCCCACAGTGTTCTTCATTACTGCATCATATTTCTACAGGCTGGGCGCTTCACTCTGAGGTTCCGCCTTCTTCTGAAGATCCTGCGAGGCCAATAAACTCCCCTGAACCCCCCATTCCCCCGCCCCCCCGCGTTTGATCGAAATGGCAGCTTGTTTAATTGGCATCTTCAATCATTTATCCACATCCTCCTCGGAAATGTATCCGGCCTGCCTTTCTGCTGGGGAAGCCCACAGATCATCTCCTCCAATTAAAGCGCTCCAAAAAAGCTACAGAGCTCTTCACATCAATGCTAAACTATTTAGCAAGTAATCTGAGTAACTCCACAACATCTCCATTATGACTGTAACCAGCTGGATGCACATCTAATGCATTAAAATGCATCCAAATCTCAATTTAAGCCTCCGCAATTAATCATTCATGAGCAGAATGAACTCTAACTGTTGCTGGTACTGCTTCGCCTTAAAGCAACAGTTCTGCAAAAAGGTTTCTGTACCAGTTAAAAGGTTTTGCTAGAACTGGACCTCTTAACCAAGAACAGTGGTGGACAGTAACAAAGTAAATGTAATTAGTTACTGTACTTAGGTACTTTTTTTTCGTGTATCTGTACTTTATTGAAGTATTTCCATTTTGGGTGACTTTTTACTGAAATCTGTCGTTCCTTTTGGTTTATGTGTGTATAAAAACATAACATGCCAAAATGAAAGAAGCGCAAAGTAAGAACACCAATCAGGGCACAGCGGTCACTTTGTTTTGAGCTTGTTTTGACCTGTTGGTCATACCGACCCAGTGCAGCACACGGTTCGACATCAGTGCAGCAGCGTAAAAAATTTTGGGAGAGTCTATTCAACATAAATGATGAACCAACTTAACTTTGTGTAAATAGACCACAATATAGAAATATGTACACATATGTGGCAAGAATGGCCTGGGTTCGATTCCCAGTTGGGGTGACCAGGGTCGTTTCTGTGTGGAGTTTGCCTGCTCTCCCCGTGTCTGTGTGGGTTTCCTCCGGGTACTCCGGTTTCCTCCCACAGTCCAAAGACATGCAGTCAGGCTGATTGGACATGCTAAATTGCCCCTAGGTGTGAGTGAGTGAGTGAGTGAGTGTGTGATTGTGTGTGTATGTCTGTCTGTCTGTCCTGTGATGGACTGGCGACCTGTCCAGGGTGTATCCTGCCTTCCACCCAATGACAGCTGGGATAGGCACCAGCACCCCACTGCGACCCAGAAAGATAAGCAGTTTAGATGATGCATGATGTTTATGAACAGAGACCTACAGATGCAGTTTAGTAAAGGAAACTCATTCTGAGTTTAAAGTTTTTATTAAACTTAAACTTTGCTTGTTTGTAAAAAGTGATTTCAGAGCCACTCAGTTCTACCTGATGGAAACTGTTTGCCTTCAGTGTTTTGTGCTTATGATAATTTTAATAGACATCAGCGTCACTAATTAACGACTCTATTAAAAGACTGGTTTACCAAGAGAGACACTGGAGTATTTTCACC